TTTTTTGCATCTTTTGGAAACTCAGGAAACTGCCACGCTGACCAAAACATCAAAAGAGAAAGCGAAAGCCGCACCACTATGCCAAGGCAGAGATCTTTACAGTGAAAGCAAGTGCTGGCAGCTGTGGCCCTGCCAGCAGCTCTCCCTACGGGGCCTTGCCAACTCGGAAAGGGAAGCCCAAGCTATTCTTTTCAAGACCCCGCCATGGCGTGGACCATGCCACTCAAGTCAATGTCACCTGTCAAAGGCATCCCATGTCTCCCAGGAATAGACCTGCTTTAGTATTCCTGTCCTGCTCAGTCATTGGCTACGCATAGCCCTTGGCAAATGTGACCTCAGCATAAATGTGGTTATGAATTTCAGATCACAGTAGCTGGGGTCCTTGGTCAATTATACTCCCCATAACCAGACATCTGGAGGTGCATTTTTATGGCTATCACATGCTCCAATATGACCCCATTTATATTTTAAAACACATACAAAATAATGCTACATATTATTTATAAATGCACACATATGAACTAAAAATATAAGAAACAAGAGACAAAGAATACTCACTGACCTCAGAATTGTGGCTACTTCTGGACTAGGATGAGTAATACTGGGTTCTTCAACAGTTTCTGTAATATGTTTCTTTAAACAAAGAAGATTGGAAGCATATATGGCAAATGTGAACATTGGTGTTGTGGATCCCTAAAACTACTCTCAGGTTCAATAATTCACTCTTGTGAAAAGCTGTTACTGTTTATTACAGCAAAAGAACACAGGCTCAAATTACTAAAGGCAAAAGGCTCATAGGGCAGAGTCCAGGAGAGATCAGACACAAGCTTCAGGTTGTCCTCTTCCAGTGGAGTCATACAATGATTAATTCTCCCAGCAACAGAGTGCAACAGCATGTACAAAGTCTTCCGCACAAGTTCATCCAAACCTTGGTGCCCAGGTCAGACAAATAGGCATGGAGTACCCACATAACCAACCCTAACAATTCAGTTATATTTATATTTGTCTTTTCTGGTTGCTTGATACTCATCCCAAAATAATTCCAGATGCTGCTTTCAATTACAGAAGCCAGAAGGAGAAGGTACATGGTCTTGGCCAATCGGGAACTCTCTGTAAGGACTCTGAACCTTGAGCTAATCTTGCAAGGACAAGAACAAATGCCAGGAAGGGATCATTTACATCATCCTGACCAGGCTATTCCCACTATCAAAAAGTCCCTTTGCTTTCTCCTCCTTTACTCTGGTACTTTCTTGGTCCCCACCTATCAGTTCTGAGAGCCACTGGATATCCTTCCAATGAATTCCCTTCTGCTTAGTGAGATTGTTCCTGTTGCTTGCAATATAGAACCTTAACTGACATAATCAAGAAAATGGGCAGAAATGGGAAAATAGACAAATATAGAAAATATCTTTTTTAACCCAACCTACCAGAAGTCAATTTTGTCTCTTCAAAGAACTGACTTCTGGTGTTGAAAATTGTCCCTATTTTTTTGGTATTATTCTCCATTGATCCTATCTTTATCTTTCGAATTTCCAATCTTTCTTGTTTGGGGTGGGAGTGGGAGGATATTCAGCTAATTTTTCTAATTTTTGTGATTTTTTGTGGGTTTATTTGATGGCTGGCCAGTATGAAGATCCAAACTCTTTGACCCTAGTGTTATAATACTGTGCTCTAACCAACTGAGCCAACTGGCCAGCGATGATTTTTCTAACTTTCGATTTGCATTCTTAGCTCGTTAGTTTTCAAGCTTCCTTATGTCCTGATAAACGTATTCGAAGTTATAAATTACCTTTGTGTTTTATTTAAGTCCTACAAATTCTGACATGTAGTGTTTCCACTGCAGTTTAAGTGCTTTGTTAAGTATTATTCTTCCTATTTAACAGATAAGGAAACTGAGAAACACTAAGTTTTTAAGCAACAGTATTGTGTTTAAAACTCATTATCATATAACTAAAGATTCATATCTTGATAACTATCGTAATATTCTGGTAACACTTAAACAAGGTAAAATTGAATTTGGAGACAAATAATAAAGTCCTGATGAATCAGCAAGAAGATTAATAACTAGTTTTGGTTTACTCCAAAACTCTTGAAGTCACTAAGTCTAATTATTAGCCACAGGCACACTTACACCTTGTTTGACCTTCGCAAGTAATCGAATGGAACGTGGTAAGCTACACAAAGAGATGGGGTTATCTGAGTCAATTTCATAATAGAGATGGATTCCAGTTGCTAGGTAAGTCACCTTGATTCTTTTTGTTGCAAATGATAAAAGCTAATACGAATAGCAGAGGCCAAAAGAGAAATTTCTTGGTTCATGTAACCAAATTCCAAGAATAACAGAATTGCCCCTGGGCTTCAAGGACCAGAGTAAAGCCATTAGCAATATCCATGTCAGCCTTTCCCACTGAGCTTGGCAGAACGATGGCTGCCAGCATTTTCTGGATTTGTATTTTCCCAGCTTCATCGCACCTTAATTTCAAGTTGAAAAATCCTGGAAAGAGACCAGCTTGATTTGAGTCCTGTCTCTAATCCTGTTGCAGTAACTGTGGCCAGGAGAGATGAGAAACTAAGATTAGCCCATCTTGGGTTAGGTAACTATCCTTAGTCAATCACTCTGCTTATGGATGGTTTATATTTGGACCCTATCTTAGACTGGAGAGAGGAGGACAATTTCCCAAAGAAGGGGAGTGCTAGTCCAGAAGAACTAGCATTCCAGAAAAATATCTTACAGATGACACAAAGAATCTGGAGGAAGCTTTCCAAATTGGTGGTGGGTGGGGTAGGGAAGGGGCTTGAAGGGGTGAAGAGGAAATAAACTGATTTGTTACTTGTACATTTCTTTGCAATGGAAAAGCCCTTTAGAGTCAAAAGGTGGAGGAGGAGAGAGGCGGGAAGGAAGGCAGGGAGTGAAAATAGATTCATTGCAACAACCACTACATCAAGCTATAGGATTGATATTTAGATATATACAAACATACACACATATATATACACATGCACACCCTCTCACAGTAATATATCTGAACACTTCGGATAACTTAAATTGGAATATTAATCATTTCCAACTAAAGATTTTTAAATAGTAAAGATGTTAAGACTTTTAGAAACTTCATTTACTCGGTAATAACATTCAGTAGGTAACGGGAACATACTGCACATATTCATTTCTGTCAGAATAAGCAGCTTGACTACACAATGATTTCCTAGCATTAAGTTCTTCTATGACCAGGGAAAAGCTTCGTAATTAGTTTTCTAAAATTGAGGTGATTTTCTAAATACTTAATGTATTTAGTAAGGGAGGGGAACAATTAAGGCTTAATTACTATGAAAATGAAAACTAACATCACAATTATAGAACATTTAAATAAAAAACTATATAAACTATATTATATAGTATTTTACACATACACATTATATAGTTTTCTTATATATATTGTATCAAAATACCTTTTCTACTTTGGTAAATAAATTTTTGAGACTGAAAACAAACTAGTTCAAGCACTTCTACATACAAAAATTTCAGGTTTGTATTTATTAAAAACAAAATAATAAGTTCATTTGAAGTGACCATATATACACCAAGATAAATATTTAGAATTGTGTAAATATAAATAGTGAACAGCTTCAAATTTCTCAATATTTTAATGACTTAATTTACTTTTCAGTCATTTTTTTGTTAATAATTAATTTGCTTAATTTTAAACTTAGGTCAATGTGCTTTTTTGCTTTTTTAAAAAGACAAAACAGTAAAAATGGCAGGTATTAGGTATTAAGAAGTAACATTTATAGTTGTCTAGATGTAATCATTTTAAAAACATACAAATTCAATATGCAGTAGGAAAATGTTTTAAACACATAAGAAACCATGCTCCATAAAAATAAAATGCACCTTCTATTTGTTATTCAAATATCAAAAACTAAATATTCTGATTTAAAAGTAGCTTCTATAAAATGTTGAGTAGGCATTGTTTGCTTTCCTAATGTATAAATAAGAAATATTTCTATCTCACCTAAACAGTAATATCAGTATTTCCTAGCAAAAATGTAGTATATACACAGAAAGGTGGTCATTGTCCTGCATTCAAGTTTTTGAGTTTGTTTTCCATTAAAATGTTTTCTATCTCTTATAAGAACTACACACAGTAAAAAGATGAGGTAAACATCTTATACTTTTAAGAACTGGAAATGTAATACTCAGATATTTCCAATGTCTAGACTCTAGAAAGTTGCTTTTAAAGGTCCTCCATAATGATGATATTTATGACACATATCTGAGCCACATAATGAACAACAGTTTTCTTGGTCTTCTGAGTAGGCAGTGATCTCCTTTTCTGTTACTACAAAACAATCACTACTAAGTTTTTCCAACAATATTGCTCCAGTGTGTGGGTTCACATGAGGCACCATGCTACAGTAAGAGCTGCTACAATGCCATTCAAAATTGCCATGCTATAGCCCATGTGGAAAGAATGTCCAGTTAGTTTCCTAGAGAAAAAAGAAAAACACAAATCAAAGAAGGAAAACGTAATTTGGTATAACAAAAACACCAAGTTTCTATTGAATATGCTTACAACCTAGAAATATATTTCTTAAATGTTTACACATTAATAAGTTAAAAAAGAATATTTGGACATCTTCAAGAATTATAGTAGACAGATGTTAATTTCTCTGTCAAAAAGTGTACTGGTTAACAAATATAATTGTTTCTATTTTATTACTCAGAGCAAAATGCTGATTTTGATCCCTATACTTCTTCGCTATGTTTCATAGTTATTGTGTATAGCCATAACTTAATTCTAATGTATAAATCTTACTACATTACAAACATTTTCTTCCGTTAATTAGCACTTTGTGTCCCTGCTCTCTTGTTCTCACTTAGATCCAACTTAATATATATATTATTTCAAGTATTTATCCTGTTTGTACCATTTTTAGGTTAGGTGAAGGAATTTGACTTTTTCTTTGAGCACAAGTTGACATGATTTGTAAGTAAATTAGATTATGTCTTTTATAAATATTTCAGTTCTCAACCTAATAGGTTATTTAATTAAAGTGGTTCTCAATAAGTTCCTAATTATCAGCAAAGACACATCTCTTGTTTTATTGTTACTATGAGTGCCCACTAGCACAAGAACTTCACATGCATAGATTTTTCTTGACATTTGTTTCCTTAATCTTGTAACAATTTTACTTATTTTGCTTTCATTTCTTTCTTAATGTTCCTCCCACTAACCATATTGCAGTAATATTCCTTGTTTACCTTAATAGGGATGAGACACACTAAAAAGAAAAGGAGGTAGTGTTCAAGTGGCATCAGAAGCCCAAAACAGATCCTCTCCTCACTGGAGCAATCCAAACTGAGGACATATAGGAAGTTAAACTGGCAGAAGTAAAAGCCAAAAGTTAAAATCAAGAAGGGTCCTGATCTGAGAGGGTCATCATACCCATACCCTCTCTTCCTTTTCTAAGGAGAGGCCAAAGCCAGGAAAGTAGTTAGAACTGAGTTCACATTCGAAGAGCATAATAATGATTCCAGGCCCATAAGGTTTACAGCAGAGATTGAAGAAACGCTTCTTCAGAGAACAAATGTTTGCATTCACCTGAGGCTATAGAAAACCCTGATGCTCCCCAATGGTCTCCTGTTCTGGTTAAACTTACCTCATTCATCTAGGGCTAGTTTAAGATGTCTTTCATGTGCCATTAAGAGTTAATCTACCTAGCTATATTACCTACTACATGGTAAAATAAAATAGGCAAACTAAATGCTTTGCCCCTTTAAAAAAGAAATTTCTTACACATATTGATTAGTGAACAGAAACCCAACTATAAAACTGAACTATCAGCATTATCATTCATTGTAAAAAAAAAAATTTAATGACCAAACTTTTAAATTAATACAAAATAAGTTAATAATGGAACAGTTTCCAAATTGTTCTATTTTTCTAGTTTGTGACCTCCGCAATCCCACAAAATAGACGAATCTCTAAAGTACAGTTTAGTAAGCTTTTAACTACACTGTTGGTATAAATGAGTTTTACTGAGATGTACATGCTCAAATGGCTCAGTGACCCTTACTAAGGGAGGCAAAGCAATGCATTTGAATGGCAATGAAGAAATGCTCCAGAGCAGTGGTTTCTCAGACTTTCTATCATCTCAAATGCACAATATTCCCACTGAAACATCGTAACATTTGTTACACATTACTGCTAGCAAAGGGACTTAAATCTTTGAGGAATCACTTATTTTAATGCTTTTCAAAATATTCACCATAATTTTCCTCTTTGGAGAAGACACAGACAGTTCCTGAAAGGTTTTCTCTCTTATGACTCTAATTTATGATCTCTGAAGTTCTATCAATAAAGACTAAAGGCAGCATGGTTCTCCTTTGTCAAAACCCTTTACTTATCTCTGGTAGAGGACATATTTTAAATTGACTCAAGTACCATGAAAATACTACTTTCAATTAATGAATTTAATATCTTCAATAAATGATGACTAAATATATCACCTATTTTACCCCAGTCTATATATGCATATATATGCATTTTACTTTTTTTTTTGCATTTTATTATAATTAAAGCATACCAGTGAAATGCAAATGTCTAACATCTATACAAGTCAATAAATCTTTACCATAGTACTTCCTCCACCACATCACCATCCACCATCCACATCAAGATAGAGAATATTTCCAGCACCCCAGAAAGCTCTCTCGTAAATACCTACTTTCCCTCTCCTAAATCTTGAGGTAACTGCAATACTCAGGGCTATCACCATGGCTGGTTTCACCTTCTCTTAAAACTGCATATACATACATCATACAGAATGTATTCTTCTGTGTCTGGCTTCTTTTGCTAAATATTGTGTCTGTGAGATTCATCCATGTTGTATGTAACATCACTGGGCACATGCATTCATTTCTCTTGGATATATCCTAGGGGTGGAACTGCTGGGTTATAAGGCAGATATAAGTTTGGCTTTAGTAGAAAGCACCAAACATTTTTCCAAAATAGTTGTATCAATTTACATTTCTACCAACAGTGCATGAGTCCCAGTTGCTCCACATCGTTGCTAACACTTGGTATTACCAGTCTTCTACATTTTTACCATTTTTAGTGGGTACACAGGGTATGTCGTTTTGGTCTCAATAATTTTTCTGATGACTAATGCCCATTCATCAGACTTATTGACTAACTTACTGCCCATTCAGTTATCCTCTTTTTTAAAGTTTCTGTTCAAGTCTTTTACTCATTTTTCTACTGGTTTATAGAGTTCTAGATACAAATCCTTTGTCGGAAATATATTCTCCTAGTTTATGGCTTGTCTTTTCACTCTCTTAATAAGATCTTTTTATGAACACAAATTCTTAATTTGAATAAAGTCCAATTTATCATTTTTTTAATGGTTAGTGCTTTTTTGGTGGCCTTTTCAATAAATCTTTGACTACTCCAAGGTTATGAAGATATTCTTTTGACATTTGGGATTATAATTCATCTCGAATTAATTTTTTGTATATTGTATAAGGTAGAGGCTAAGTAAGGCTCACTTTTCCCCTTATGGATATCCAATTGCTCTAGCATAACTTATTGAAAAGGCAACCTTTTATTCCTTATTGAATTGCTGTGGTGCCTTTGTCCTAAGTCACATAACTGTACATGTGTTGTCTGGTTTGGGACCTATTATTCTATTCTTCCAGTCTATTTGTCTATCCCTAAACAAATGCCACATTGTCCTAATTATTATAGTTTTATAATATAAAATGAAATACCACTTCATACCCACTAGGATGGTTATAATTTAAAAAAAAAAAAGAAAGAAAACAAGTGTTGGTAATAATATGGAGAAATCGGAACTCTTACACATCACTGGTGGGAATGGAAAATGGTGTAGTTGTTATATAACCCAGCAATTCCACTCTAGGTATATAACCAAGAGAATTAAAAACATGTTCACGCAAAAACTTGTACCTGAATGTTCACAGTAGCATTATTCCTAATAGTCAAAGAGTGGAAACAACACAAATATCCATCAAATGATGAATGGATAAAGAAAATGTGATAGATCCTTATGGAATATAATTTGGCCATAAAAAGAAATGAAGTACTGATACATCCTATGACATGAATGAACCTTGGAAACAGTATGCTAAGTGAAAGAATTAGACACAAAACATCACATTAAAAAAACCCCAAACTATATAATTCCATTTATATGAAATGTCTAGAATAGGCAAATACATAGAGACAAAAAGTAGACCACAGGTTTCCAGTGGCTAGAGGGAGAGGTGAATGGAAGAGTGACTGCTAATAGGTATACAAGGTTTTCATTTTGGAGTGAAAGAAGTGTTCTGGAATTAAAAGGTGGTGACAGTTACACAATATAGTAAAATACTAAAACTACTAAATTGTACATTTTAAAATGGTGAGTTTTGTGTTACATGAATTATATATCAATTAAAGAAACCCCAAAAAACAAACAAGAAAAACCTCCTGAAGGACATTAAAACATAGGGCCTGAATGGAGGAAGGAACCCACCACAATCTGGGAATACTCAACACTGTAAAGGTGTCAATTTCTTAAAAAAAAAAATCTATAAATTCAATGTGATCTCAGTAGTAGCTTAACAGGATTTTTTTGGTAGGAAACTGACACATTGATATTAACTTGATCTGATGCAGTAAATGTGCAAAAAGAACAAAGAAAAATTCTGAAAATTCAAAGCATAACATAAAAACAAAGTAATTTTTAAAAATAAGTACACTGAGGGCCGGCCTGTGGCTCACTCGGGAGAGTGTGGTGCTGATAACACCAAGGCCACGGGTTCGGATCCTGTATAGGGATGGCCAGTTTGCTCGCTGGGTGAGCGTGGTGCTGACAACACCAAGTCAAGGGTTAAGATCCCCTTACCAGTCATCTTTTTAAAAAAAAAAAAAATTAAGTACACTGATACAGAAATGGAATAGGGTACAGCATCCAGAAACAGATCTATGTTTGTGTGTGTACGTATGTGGGTGGTGGGAGATGGGGGTGGGAGCGATGAGACATTATATTTGATCAACAAGGCATTTTTAAGTCAGAGAAAACAAAATTGACAATTATTGCTTTACAGGTTGCTTCCTCCTTATTCCTAAGAATCATGTTTTTTCATTTAGCAGTATAGGAGAAATCAAGATTCAGCTTATTTTCAAAACAGCTGTCATAATTACAGGGAGTAAAAAGAATGAGTGACTTCAGGTGGTTTCCTTTCAGTCTTCTGGTTTTATTTTGTTATCTCACAAGTTCTACTAAATATGATGAAACAGAATAAGACTAATCTTATATTTTTAGATTAAGAGGGGCAAATACCTGCAATTCCAATGTTTGCAGGTTCGTGGCTTGTAAGCTCTCAATATGAAGCGCAGAAGCTACTGGTATTGTCCATTTATAAATTCTTTTTTATCTTAAATTTGTGTATGTGTGTAAGACAAGTCACTACTGATCTTGCA